GTATAATGTGTAATAAAAAGTTTTTTGTGTGTTCGTGTGCAGTACAAGGTGAATCACATATAATGACCTTTCTTTGAATAATCAAATTTGCTTTTATGTTATGGGAAAGTATGACATGATTGACATGACCACATGAAAGATGTGACTGTGAGGGTCATCATTATCCAATGAGTTGAATGGAGCCACACAATAGAACACCATATTGGAGCTCATGTCATGTTGGTGGCCCACTCTCTTTCCATTACCATTAACCATCCAACATATTGATTGGATGAACAGTGACGACCCCCATGACCACATATTCATGTGGTGATGTGGATCATAGTACCATTTCACATGTGTTATATTCTATTCCCTAATTACCATCATAATTAAAGAGACCATCATTAATTTCTTAATTAATTTATTCCCTAATTACAATCATAATTGAAGAAATTATCCTTAACTTTCAGCAAAGAGCATCAGTTACATCTCCAATCCCTAGTTCTCCATACTTCAGAATAAAAATCAATTGTCATGGAATTGCAATTTGGACTAAACACGATCACGATCACAAGAAGATGGGAGCATGGTATGGAGTACACTAACACATGATGCAGAGTTCCTCGAAATGTGATTCCCAGATGTTTCAGTTAAAAAAATCTAGGATCAGTTATTTGGAGCAGTAAGCTAATCGATTTCAAGGTTATTGCAACTATAACACCAGGCTAGAATAACCACAAAATACATCAAGAGTTACACTTCTTGTCCCTTTGTATTAATAATATATAAAACATTTCCTTAACTATTTGTTTATCTTTGGGCAGGTATGACGTGGGATTGGAATCCTCAAGACCACATTGCAGTTTCACCGCCCCAACCCATGAAGCCTGCTCCTAATATTTAAAGCATTTCCTAGTTTCTGAATTTACAGAGTTGATGGACCTGGAGGAATTGTTCTCCAAAATGAACCCTCATCGCCAGAGAATGGGAACCCAATACAGAACCAATCTTATTGTTCTTTTTCCAGTAAAATATAAAAATTGATCAAAAGGAAAAAATGCAATATCTGAATAACACGATAAATTCCAGTCATGTCCCTTAGCAGTTCAAAAGCAAGCAAACTTATACATCTTAAGGTGTAGGATCCATAAATCACAAATAGAAAACCACAAATCAATAAACTGATCTATTTTCTTTTTTTTTATTCATTTATTTGTTAGGTCAATAAACTTTTTTTATAGTAGACCACTTACAAATAACATCTATGAAGGACAGAACCTTCTCCCAGTATCTTCATGGCATGGTATAATTCTAAGTACAATAAAGGAAGACCAGCTGCAAGAATAAGGTTTCTTAGAGGCAAAAGATCCAAACATCCATGAAACCCAAAATAGGTTCGATTATCCGAGCCATGTGCTACAACGAGAAAAAAATGGAAGTGGATTTTACCAGATTTTAAAAAATAGGAGGCAGGGTCCGACTCAGTCAACTGAAAATCCATGTCAAATTGTCAGTTTCGAGTCAGATCTCTGATTCAAGGCGATCCAGTTGAAATTGCCTCAAAAGTGATTTTTTCAAAAATAGGTTAATGTTGTTTTAAAAGGATTAGAACAGAGAGAGCTGACTTTTCTTGTTTGGAAGTTCAATTCAAATGATATTTTCCAAAGTAAGGATGCTCAAGATAGGATGGAATCAGAAGAAACCATATATACAAAAGAAAATAGTTAAAATCAAACAAAGGAGAAAGACTATAATGCAAAGGAGATTGATTAATGAATCAAAGGAAAAGCCATAGATTTAAGAAAAAATCATTTGCTAGAGAAAGGGAAATAGAAGAGAAACAGAAGAAGCCCCAAATTTGAAAAACTACATCCCTAAGAACCTCTACGTCAGAAATACACCAAAAAATTTTGAGATTTAAAGGAAATCAATAAGAGAAATAGAAAGAAAAACCATGATCAAAGAAAGAACCAAAGATGAATGGCCTTCCAAGATGGAGAGAACGTAAAACAAACTAGAAAAGAGAGAAAATATATAGGGGACACCTGTTTTTAGAGAAACATAGGTTAAAACGATAGAGAAATCAATCAATTGGAAGGAAAAACCACATCCAATTCTTATTCAAGGATGCAATGACGGAGTTTGGAAAATCGAGCGACTTTTCAAGAATCGCCCGGTTCCCAATTTTTAGCCGAAAACAACCCAGTGCGCTATGGTGAACTAGCCAATTTTCTGAATATAGGGGCGATTCAATGGTTCTGACTTCCCAATTCTAAGTCAGATCAGATTATTACGATCCGATTTGGTGATTTTTTCATCACTAGCTTTTAGGACCCACAGAGGGCCTTATATAGGTACAAAATTAACATCCCCCTAGTTACATGGATCAACAGCATAATATTGATAACAAAGATATACACAGCAGAAACACAATAAATTGCATGTTTGCCCTTAGTCGTTACCATGAAATCTAAGAATTATAAATACTTGAGAGTAATTTTCTGTGCTTACAGACTTCTAAAATATCATCAATATTACAATGAAATCATTGCTAGGCAACCTACTAATGACAAATACATACAAAAAAGAACGGTTTCTCTGCTTACAGACTTCGAAAATCTAATCAATATAACAATAAAATCATTACCAGGCACTCTCCATAGAATCCTTTTCCCAAACGAATTTTGAAAGCCCCGTCCAATAACTTATTGGCAGCATCCTGTCGGTGTTCAATGTACGAACGTCCCTTGGCAATGAACTCTGTATGACTCATTTCAAGCAACTGTACCAAGCGAATTTCATCCAAATTGAGAGGCAAAATGAAATGCAAATCCAAAATATAGAGCATAAAATTACTAATTAATAAAAGAGAAATAAAGTAAAGATATGTGCGTTTCAATGGATATACCAACTCATGTAGAGCACAACGTGTACCAAATAACAGCATAAGATAGTATTCACAATGGAAACCATTGCGCTAATTGACATTCTGCATTCACATACAACTAATAGCCTGACTGAACAAATCACATTTACTCCTCGAGGATCAAAACTCCTTTTATACTATGACTCAGAGAAAGCATCACTAGAGATTACATAAAAGGATATCTTGTCCTCAAGATTAAAATATGATGAAAATGGAAGGCCTCCACAGCAACTAGTAGAATTCAAGGAGCTGAGATCTTCCAGCAGATTACAAAGCACAAGATATGACCTTTGTGCCAGTAAGCATGTCAACGAATCCCAATCTGGGAACAGAATGTAAGTCATAAGAATCACCTTTCAATATGCTCAATGTGTAATATTTATGCACACATACACAAACACACACACACACACAAACTCCACACCAAGAAACAGCACAAGACACATGAAGACTTTTACTAAAAATATGATGATTAGACCATCACTGCACTTATATGCATGCTACACTCCCTTGAAAAGATCTATTTGTTTGGGTGTGTTTTGGATCATGAAAAATCCAAGAATAGCTCAGGTCCTCAAGCACTAGGCCCAATGGTTAATATTTCACATATAAAGATAGGTGAGTAGAGCAATGGCCAAGCATGGCTTTAAACCTGATAGTGGTCAATATAGAATCTAATTTGATCCAGGTGAACTTGGTTGAATGATCAATAGAAGCATGAAAAGCCTATGATCCAAATTTCTATAGGACTGGATCAAGTTTGGCTTTTGGAAATAATCAATTATCAGATATGGTTCTGCAGACCTGACCACCAGTCAGATCTTCCATGAAATGGACTAACGTTAGTCGTAAAGCCTCATGGGCAATAGGAGTGATATTTCTAACGCCTATCTCAAGTTTCAACGAGAATGGCAAGGTGGACATTCCCAATCACTGTCAACGTCATTCATATGTATCCCTAAAAAGCCTGATCCCTGGTCATTTGGAAATCTTGTCGAATGGTTTCAGAAGACAAAAGTTTATGGATCTTCATTTTAGGGTTATAAGCTTATCATCTGAATTTCATAATGATTGGATGTTATTTGATACCCTTTCAAAATGAGGTTGGTCAAAGCATGCCTTCAGGGCTTGACTGCTGGTCCAAACTCTTACAATCTTGGATCAATATGAAACCTTGGGGAATGTTAATTTAAAGCATTATGAGCCTACTATCCGAAAATTCATAAGATCTGGATGCCGTTTGATGCATTTTTGAAGGCACCGTCAGTCAAGGAATATCATTATAGCTAGACCAACAGTCTAAAATCAAACTTTCCCTAATAGAGATGAAACTTGGTGGAAGTTTAATCTAAGATATGATAAGTCTATGGTCAAAATTTCAAGTAATTAAACTTGGATTTGATCCACCTTCCAAACTTATTGAATATGAAGGCCTTAGTCTATGTGGGTCAAACTCTATTTATTAGATGGACTGACATTTGTAATTTCAAATGGAGATTTCTCTCAATTCTCAAGGAGTTTTTTCATGACCATTGGATTCAAGTGGCAAAAATCAGAACTATGGCAGACTGCAGCCTGATCTGTGGTCTAAACTTCAAACTAAGATTCTCCAAGACTAGAGGAGTTTTCTCATGGAATTTGATGGAGACATGCTTCATCAAATGCTCTATAATCCAAGCAAAAGATTAGCTTCAATAGAACCTTGATATGAAAGCGATCTAACGAAGGGATCCCTAGATTGCAGCAGTCTAACATAACTGCAATGAGATAGCTTCAACAATCCATAGCTCACTCATTTCTTATGCTTTTGATCCAAGATTTACACATTGGATTTGTCTTTAAGTGTTCTATGACACTGAAAAGATCAGGGTATAATACCTTACACCTGATGAGAAGTAGTAACTGCTCATATGCTATGTTCTTGACCATCGGTCAGGGCGGACATCTGCCTGCCCAAGATTTTCTTAGGGATATTCCGCATAGTTTGAGTTTGGATATATCCAAACCCATTTGATTAATCCTCCCACATATCTGTGAGAGAAAGGTGCATAACAAATATTATTTTAGATAAACATTATACCTAAAGCATAGTAATCTCTCTAAAAGGCACTATATAAGAATATTCAACTGTTAGTGGGAAAAGAGCAAATGAACCTCTTGCATTTATAACCAGGTATGTGAGGTATCCGTAAGTCTCAAAGGGTTGATATATGTGCCTTTTCTTTGAGTCTGTAATAGCTTAAAAACCTAAATCAAGGGTTTTCTAATGTGCAAGAAACATGTTGTATGTAAATGAAACAGGAATTCTAGGGGTTACATTTTAATGAAAAAACCCTTGGGTATATGCAATCTTGGTGGATTTGTTCCCCTTTGTGTTTATTTTCTTACTCTGGTTGTTTTATCATTCTAGGAGTCATATTTTTTTAGTACAAGCACATTTATAGCAAACGCAAATTATCAGAAACAAATAAAGTGAAACCCCTATGTAATGCTCCACCAAGTGACTAGCTTAATTAAATGCCTGCAACCCTTTAATCCTCGAGAGCCTTTCTAAACCTCATCCACTTCAACAAATTTCATTAAGTACCCTTCCTCTCATTCACCCCTTAATTTTAAAACCACAATCCTTTCCATGACCATCTATCAAAACTCACCAGTCTAGCACCCTACTCAGTGACCCCAAAGAGAAGATTATCCTAAATGAGAAGCGATCAATAGGCTGGATCTACATATTCCTTTGCTATAGAAACCTCTTAGACTTTTAGCTTCCCTACAAGAGGAGAAAGAGCCTTCTTCCGCTCCCTATTTAACACTCGTTCTAAGGTCTCTTAAACCACTTCTCATTCATTACCCTCAAACCTCATTCTCTTACGCCCTTTCTCGGTTTTGCTCCATCCCTGCTCCGATACCTTTGAATGGTGCAAGTTTTCAGACAACTATATAAAACACCACCCCCAGCCCCCACACCCCCACCCCCAACCCGCGCCCCCCCCCCCCCCCCACAAAACCCAAAAAAAAAACCACCCAAAAAAAAAAGCACCACCATGCATACCCAATAAATAATCACAAACCCATGCAAGGGACGCTTTTCACTCTCTTGAATCCTACTGAGCTAAAACAAGGTCATAATACCACACGCCCTTCTCAGCTTGCCAAAGCTCATAGCACTGCTACATTCCAGCGGAGAGAATATATATTCAAAATCCAATCGCACTCAACTTTTATGGCTCTGAGATGGCAAAGTGACTGGCATATGTTGGATAGTCCTAATAAGAAACAAAATAGATGAATAAACTGACCCAAAAAATATATAGAAAAAGGAATCATAGCTATAGACTGACGGATGATTCTCTGCTTTTAGCATGCCACTTATTGAATATTAAAACTAGTATACGGACATTTCATTGTTCGTGTCTGAAACGAGGTAACATGCCCTTATGCATTGTGGATATCATGTGTTTCTCTCACATGCCTTCGAGAATGGGAAAGATTTCATTGCGTAATCAAATCGTAATACAGAATGTGAATTAGATTTAAGTCATTAAGCGTTAACAACGATGCAAAAGACGATCTATACTATCTATTCCATTCAATATAGTACATCTAGGTTCTATGCAGCAAACCTGGTCAAATATGTATGGATTGGTGATGCAATTCAGTTTTGAACGCATACTGCTAAGCCCGATTTTAAATGCATTACTCTCAGATAGCTCCCATTGCTGAAGATCAGCATCTTCGATGTACTTGAGAAGCATTTTCAGCTGCCATACGTCATCACTAATCACCAATGATAGTTTACCATTCTGGTCTTGACAAACAAAGAAAGCACTCATTAGAACCCACAAATCAATGTAACATGTGATAAATCATTGGCAACGTCAGATTCTTTACCATTACATAATTGATTTTGGTTAAGCAATTCAGAGAAATAATCATATGCAAGCAATGAACTGCTCTTGGTGATGTCGTAATGCACTGATAAGTTCTCAGGACAATCTTCTACAGGGGAGAGTAGGGCCTTCGCAGATTTATGGTGATCAAAAATGACAACACTGCAAGAATCATAAAGTCCATTTCATGTTTTCTAATAATAGTCCATTTAAATTGAGGCACTCCAATACTCAAAAAACAAACAGATATATGCCTGTATAAATAGAAATTGTCATTGATATTCACCAACTTGCATTGCGACATATGAGAGCCACCAATGCCGTGGTAATTCACATCCACCCAGGAGGAAAGACCACGTTTGTGAATTGTGATTTAGTGCTTAGTTACCAGGATCTCCCAACATGTGTGGCAATCCCGCTCCAGAAAATTTATACACAACACTTGGTGAGGGATCATGGTTCAATTGTGATCCCATGTTGGAGGAGCACGATCTTAATCTAATAATATTGGTCAACAGTGCGAAATCCCCATATTCTTTATCTATTTAAAGAAAAGAAAAAACAAGAAATAAATGTATATATAATTGAAAAAGAAAACAAAAACTATTCAAATCCATGTTCTATAAATTTTTCAAGGAAATATTTTCTTAAATATACATTATTAAAAAGACAAGCTTCACATTCAATGCTTCCAAAGTCATAATTAATGTAGGGAATGGTGAGTGCAACTTTTGACACAAATATTATGGGATTTTGACCTATCATTTTCTTAAAACTATGTACAAGAGAGAATGATATCTCTCTCTCTCTCTCTCTCTCTCTCTCTCTCTCTCTCTACTACCTACCTACTACCTACTAACTACTACTACTACTACGTACGTAGTACGTACGTACGTACGTACGTACGTACG